TGCCTGGAGCCACAGTGGGTCTGGTGGAGGATGCCCAGGCTGGAGCAGAGCGAAGTGGTGATGGGGTCGAGGAGAGAGAGAAGACGGGGAGGGCGGTGGGAGAGAAGGACAGAGGGGAAGTAGCAAATAGAGGGGGATGGGAGGAGAGACATAGAGGGGGGTGGGAAGAGAGACATAGAGGGAGATGGGAGGAGAGACATAGAGGGGGGTGGGAGGAGAGACATAGAGGGGGAGGCTCGGGTCGGGGCGGCAGCCAAAACGTGCACGCAGAGACCGGGAGCGAGCAATCAGAGAGACAGCATCAGCCCGCAGGCTCAGCTTCCCAGGTCATGGCTGGGATGGCAGTGCCAGGGGCCAGGACATTGTTGTTGTTGTTGTTTTTATTTAGCTGTGACGTCACGCCGACGTCACTTAGTGAATCGCGCCGCCCCATCACTTACCCCCCGCACCCCGCTCTCTCCTACCTCCGCTCCCGACTGAGTGGCTCCTCACCTGGCTGTGCTTTATACAACTCTAGGCCTCGGCTCCGCCCTGCGCTCTCCTACCTCCGCTCCCGACTTCAATAGTGTGGTATATGAGGAAGAAATGTCAGCATGATTCCACCATGAAGTCATGCATCAAATATCATTTTCTTAAAGTGTGCAATTCACCACTTATGTCACAAAATCTGTTAACAATGGTTCAAAACTTTTTTTTAAATGTAGCATTTTCTCTGTCTGCATTACCAGAAATTCAATTATAAAAAGAATCCAGGGCCTTCTCAAATGACTCAGCCACCAGACTGTAAACTCCTACACTGACATAACCGTGGAAGATAATAGCCACAGAATGCATCATTGCTTGAGGACATCTCACTGATGTAACTTCTGCTCAGCCAGACATTCCAACCACACAGCGGGAGAAGGGCCAGCCCCAAGAAGTAGCATTGGGAAAGTATCTGCAAGATTCGGAGACAAAAACAAGTACCTACTCGCTACCTGGAACATCAATAGTTCTAACGTTCAACAGCAACAACTTGCATCCAGATAGCACCTTTCACATGAGATAACATTTCAAAGCATGTCACAAAAACAGTGAGGATCACTGAGCAGGGTAGGAAAGAGGGGAATAAACTCTAAGGATCTCTGGGAAATGGGACCTCTGGAAAGTGAAAGCCTATCTGAATGGCACATTGTTTTGCATATCCTATAATAATAACCTTGCATTTGATATAGCGCCTTATGACGTCTATACCAGCAATGTGAGGCCACACATTCAGTGTAATAACACATTTCCAAATGTTTTGAAAGTTTCTTTTTCTCTGTGTGGGTACGAGTGACATTTGCTGTGAGTTTGTTTTATTGAAAACATATGCCTTAATTAAATCATTCCTTAGACTTCATTGCCATGTTACTGTTTAGCCAATGTAAACTGCAGAACAACTCTGAACTCCTTATATTGCCTCAAACATTCATACTTATTTCAGGAACAAGATGCCTAGATTTTTCTTTGAAAAAAACATAACAATAAGAATGTTTGGTGTAGAATGTTTGGCCTATAAAGACAACTCATCTCAAAATGTTTCACAGGAAATTTGTGGCAAGTGTAGTGACTGTATGTGTAGGCAAATGCATTTAATCTGTTATGGAATGTCATAAAAGTATTGTCCTGTTTATTTATATAAATAATGCTTGTATTTGATACAATACCTTATTGTGTTTTTCAGCCATCTGAAAGCACTTCATAGGTTTTTACTGTAAAGTGTAGTGACTGTATTTGTAGGCAGCCAATTTTCACCCACAATGTCCCATAAACAGCCATGAAATAAATGACCAATTTTATCTGGGGGACAAGCTGCATTCATCATACACTCAGCTGCATTCATTTCCTACATTTTTATCATCGTACATAGAAACCCTTTGAGGATAAAATGCAACTATTAACTTAACAGTTCATGTGCGATTACTTTATAGTTCTACTTGAAAACACTTGACAGAAGTTGACAAGAATTTTAATTAGTCACCACTTTAATTTTCTAGCCTGGCACAAATATTGAGCATTTGGTAGTTGGAAATAATACTGTCATTCACTAAAATCTGTCTGGGTTTTTAGAACAGGCTGGCCCTGGTTTGATTGGACGTGCTATAGTGGATGGCATTGTTTTCCAAACCCTTGAGATTGTGAAATATTAACATTTAACTGGATAAATACATCCGGACACAGATACCCTGTAACATGAGCAGATGAAGCCCACATTATTTGAATCAGAAAAAGCAGAAACTGTAGTTGTTAAACGCAATGAACAGAGTATAATGCAGAATGCAATCTGTCCTGACCCAAAGGCCACCTGCTAGTTTCAGCTATCTGGAAAACGCTTATTTGCTTCAATCATCGCAAACTTCACTTATCAGCCACCTATCAAACCTGTTTGAACAACTCTTAAGCTCTGATCAGAGGCCACAACTATTGCACTATTGTGGTATTATTCGAATCCATCATGAGCAAGGCTTGAGCTTTGTCAGAGAGCAGAACTAATATGCCTCTCCAGATCCCCCCTTCCACAAGATCGAGATAACATAATCCTATGATAATCCTTCATTTGATATAACACCTTTCAGGTTGCGAGGAAGTCTCAAAGTACTTGAAAGGATTTACTGTAAAGTATAGTGACTGTGTATTTTGTGAGTAAATGATTGCTAAATGATTCATGCCATATTTGGGCAGTATTATGCTGAGTACCCATGTCCAGTAAATGGGTTATAATAATCCTTCCATTTGATATAGCGCTTTTCACGTCTTCTAGACGTCTCAAAGCGCTTCACAGAATATACTGTAAAGTGAATTGACTATATATTTTGTGGGCGTAACGTGGCATCCAATTGCACACAGCAGTGTCCCACAAACAGTCGTGGATTGAGTGACCAAATTATTGTTTTATGTATTTATTTTCTTGAGGGATTATTATCAGGTGTGTGGGGTAAGGAAACTTGTCCAAGATTTCGCCCTGTGGGGAATCAAACCCAGGTCTCTTGCTTGCCAGGCGAGTGGTCTAACCACTGAGCTACAGGACTCCAGGACTACAGGGTTAAGGTTGAGACTGCTCAAGCCGATTCCACACAAGACCCTGACCGTTATCAGTAAAATAATTATTTCACCCTATTAGTTTGGCCGAATATGAAGCTAGCCCACAGAGATGTCAGAGCATTGTGCTAACCTCCTGTGCCATCTAGATTCCCAAACATTTTTTGCCACAGTTCAACTATACGTCTTGAAACGTGATATCCTACAAATACAGTCACTACACTTGACAAAAACTATTTATAAAGTGCTTTGAGATGTTTCAACGTTAAAGGCACTATATCAAATGCAGGGATTTGTTCTTATTATTTATCATTAAAATGTCCCTTCTATTGACTAAGTTAAAGGTTCTGTGTAGGTGTGCAATATCCAATAAAAGTACAATTAGGAGAAGACATTTGGGTAAATTCCATATTTCAACCCAGATAATATCTGTGATCTACTTTATAGGCTTGTTATTTTGCCAAAAGGAAAATTGGTCTGCGGATCACAGTACAACCAAAGGAGAATCTGTGGGTTCTCAATAGACCTCCATTTCTAATAGTGGACTACAATCTGATTGTAAATTGGTTAAAATTCCACACTTCTCATGTAATTACTTGCCTACTGGCATTTCATGTGCTTGTATGGAATGCTGTTAATAACTGCTGTTTTAGCTCATTTAGTCACTGACAGTAAATACAAATTTTCTTTTGACTGTTTCATGAGTTGCAAAGACATTAAAAAGTCATGCTGAGTTCAGGACTCCTTGCAGAATTGAACTGCAATTGCGGTTTAGAAAGCTTGTGGGTTTTTTTCTTCTCTAACAAGGGAGCGCAGACTCAATCTCTGAAGAAGGAAGGTGAACAGACCTTTCAGATTGAATTACTGTAAATGGATAATAATAATAATAATCAGATGATGATATCTGCTTGTTTTGGATCCCTATACCAGAGGGAATAGTCATCCCCATTTAGCTTTGTAGTTCATCAACATCCATCATGCTCCTCACTAAGATAAATAATTAAAACACAGCAAAAAGATGAAATTCCAAAATATTTAAAAATAAAATAATCTATGGGGACATGGTTTCATTTTGGAATCGTCTGTTAATCAGTTTACATATGGAAAGCACAAACAAATATTGTAGTCAACATTCCCATAGACTATCGTCTATTTCCATCACTATTACTCACCCCTGTTAAACAAAGGAAAACAAAACCATCATTACAGACTGATGTCTCACTGGTCATCAGTGTATCAATGCTGCCAATGTCAGTTCCTAACATTGGCAAGGATATGCACTGAATAAGATTGATTGACGCCTGCTGCTATTCAAACAAACTGTGATTCAGGAATTCGATGCAGTAACATTTTTCTATCTATTAAATAACAAACCCAGACAATTAATGATAATGGGAAAACAATTCAAGGTGATTTCGTGAAATCCCTTTGTGATTTCTACAACAATTTGTTTTATTTGGTCAGCTAGCTATCTGTCATGCGCAGAAACCCACCAGCATTCTTAAGAGTGTCCAAAACATACTGAGAATTCCACATATGCATTGAAATGTATTTTCTGTTTGGAATGGAGTGCACACTCTCTCTATGGAGGGACATACACTTGCTCACCTGTTCTTGGAAAGTATTAAACACCAGTGGGTAAGGGCCAAGGATTGGGGACCACAAAGTACGTGTTGGGGTCTGTGATTATGCATCTAGATCTGCTGTGGTGAGCCACACCCACCTTAGGTTAACATACAACCCATCTGACTCTGTTTTCCCTCCCTTGGTTGCTTCATTTCATACTTAACAAACGGAGAAAGGTGTGTTAATGTTTAGCTTTGACTCCGTCTTATCGTATCAGTGCAGTTCTGATTACTGATGGTGCACTGAGGAGTTATGGGCTAGGGCTATGATGCAATCAACACTGATAAGAGATGCCGGTATAGCCCAGTTGGGGCACAACAGATGAGAGAACTTTGTTGGTTCCATTATTTTGTTATTAATATTATTAATAATAAAAATAGAAAGCCAGCTGGTCAATCGTTTCTTGAGTCTGTATACTTAGGGCGTAATCTGGACCTTTATTCTCAGGGACCAAAAGAATCCCTACTTATCAAAGCTTTTTGCTTAGCCGCTTGCCAATTGAGCAATAGTTTATGCGTTTGTTATCTCTTGGTGTCTGATGCAATGCCAAAATACTCATGTGCAAATTGGGAAGATTAGAGTTTATGGCGTTGCATTTTCTGCGTTATGTGCGTCAGGTAATGAACTTAGATAGTTCTACACTAGTTTCCTGTAAACCTCAATTCAAATCCAATGAAAATGAAACCCTTTTAAATCCTTCATCGTTTTCTCTGTTGAAGGGATGTTGGGTTGGAATTGACTCTGGCTGCACTCCGATACCTTTCCACCACCACCACCAACAACCCCTGTGGTCAATCTTCTCCTTGTGTGACCTTGAAAATGAAGTTGAGAAAAATATTCTTCAGGAACATAAATTGTACCTTCTGTTGAAAAAGCACTTCAAGATGTAAAGTGCATGAATGACAACTTGCATTTATATAGTGCCCTTCACCCAGGGTAATGGCTCAGAAAGCATTTCCCTAAGAATCAAATGTACATCACTCTGACCTGAGTGAACTCACCTAGGACAGGGCCTGAGATCACCTTACAGACGACTTCTCACAAGCTGGACGACGGCTCTTGCAGCTGAAATGTATTTGTGGCAAGTTTTTGTGTCAGTGAAGCCAGAGTGATACAAAACCAGAGTCCTGGATAGAGGAAAGATATTGTCCTGCCATTAATGGAAGGGTTATCAATAAGATTAATAAAAATACAATAATAATCCTTGCACTGGTCAGCAACAACAGTGTGATCAGTGCACTTGTGCTGGTAAACAGTCCAAAAAAATTTCATCTGCTACGTCGTTCTCGAAATTTCAGTATCATGGAAGATGTGAAGCTACAGTCTAGCTTCACCCGTTCCATGACGTGAAGCTACAGTTTAGCTTCACTACCATAAACTAATCTTTTGGAAATATGATGACTCCGGCCAACAACAGAAGATTATATCAGTGAGCAGGAAATACGTACATCCGTTTCCTGATACTCCCTCATGTTGGTTCAATAGTGAAGACTTTGGCACAATGTGTGGTAAAACACCAATTATAATAATAATCCTTGTATTTGATATAGAGCCTTATTCATGTTTTCGAAACGGCTCAAAGCGCTTCACAAGATACACTGTTAAGTGAATTGACTATATATTTTGTGGGCAAAACGTGGCAGCCAATTGTGCACAGCAGTGTCCCATAAACAGTCGTGGATTGAATGACCAAATTATTATTTAATAATAAAAGTTAATATAAACATCCAATGATTTTGTTATTGAGGGTGAAACATAACAGGAAAAAAAAATTATCTTTTTGATCTGAACCTTTACCTACCTATCCTGTCACCTCATCTCCCAATCCCCTTGTTCTCCAGAAATACATCTTGGTGAATCCTTTAAATTGTCTCCTGCATTGTCCTTTCCTGATAATTCTATTCCCTTTGGGATAAATATTTAACTATTAATGTTTAACCTCTCGGGCAAAGTGGACAAATTGCTTGCATTGACCTTTCTGACTTTACAGGCATTTATATTTCACCCCAAAGAAGTTATTTCCAGCGTTGTTGCTCATTTCATCAGCCCCAAAGAGGGACGAGAGCTCATTGGGATTTGAACCCAGAACACTTTGGGTATCGGTCCAAATGCTTGAGCAACCGTCTTTATTTAGTCAGCGTGTGTCTGAAACTAGAAATCTATTACCACGCTTAAGAGTATCCAAACAAGAATGATAGTTCCACATACATTGACCACCTGACAAACTTTCCACTGCTTGTCCGGCCAGGACTACCCTACTATCCATGGCTTTAAATTATAGGGTTAACAGAAGCAGAGTGGGAAGAATCCCTGGCCGTAGTGACTGGCTTGCCAGTCCAAATCCTACCAATGCACAAGGCTGGCTGGTCTACCATCAGCAGTGCCCTGGAGTATTGCTGACCACCTGCCTGGCTCAGGAACCAGACTAGCAAGAAAGGGTTTCAGAAGTTTCACAAAGGAGTGACTCAATTCTGACATTTTATTGCCAACAATATCACCTTGGAACGAACTCAGCTTCAAGGAGACCTGCTTCCCTCCTCCCTCCCAAGGAGCTATAACCAATGTGACCAGAATTGCACAGACAACAAGAGGGAAGATTTATTTTTAACGGGCATCATTTCCATTGGATTTCAATTCATGTTTTACAACTCACAAGAGGGAAATAGCACAAAGAAGCCGAAAATGATATCTGAGTCACACAAGGTGGAAAATGTAGCTGTCAACACCGTAAAATCTAATCTTCCTCGCTTGCACTCGAGAACTTTGGCATTGCTTCACACTCCAAAAGATAATAATGTATAAACTACCATCCAATCGGGATGCAGCTGGACACTAAGCTTTGATAAGTGAGGGATTTGTTTTGTATGAGAACACATCGCACATCCTGCCTTTAGTACACAAAGTGTAGCCTTAAGAAATGATTGATCGACTGTCTCTTTAAAAAATAATCAGCAAAAACTGTTCACGAATTTGATCTCGCCCGTTTATTTGCTAACATGTTTCGTCAGCATCATTTTCAGTATTAACAGAGATATGAATCCAATATGAAGGTCTCAATCGTGGACACACAAACACCCTGCAGCCGAAGAAAAGCTAAATAAAATGTATTCAGGGAATAATTCAGCTCTCCCCTCCCACTCTCCGCCAGTATGGATCAGGCAAGCACTTAATAGAGAGACCAGAGGACTGCACATGGGATTTGGATAAAGAGTTGCCTGTTTTGTAACTCAATCCAGGTTTGAGGCTCTAATTCTTAATGCAGACATTGTCAGTGGCCTGTGAAGACTTTAAATTCCTGGCACAGCCTACTTTCGCCTCCAGGCCACCCAACCCATTCCAACAGGGGACTAGCCTTGAGCCTCTGCACTGCAACTCCCTAAATGTTAGAACATATTAGTCGCTGCTTTATGACCAGCCTCAGGGACCATATTGGCGATGAATCTCCAAACACTTATTCTGTCAGAAGCTTCACTTAAGATGAGGGATTGCTCATCAATGGCGATTTCTTGACTGAAATAAAAGTTAACTCTTTAGCTGTTTTCAAACAGAGGTCTCAGCAGTGAAGATGCAGCACATTGGCACTCAGGAGAATATTTTGAAGGGTTTTAGAAGTTTCAGGCGTTAATAGTTCCACCACATTGCTGCCTAATCCTTTCAGTGTGCTTTTGGGAAAGATTAAAGTTAGCTGTATGAAAGGAAAAATGAATTCTGTAAAATAAGTTGAAACTTATCATATGACAAAAACAGACATTTGTCGATGTATAAACTACAGGAGACTGCAGTTTGTGTTTTTTAATTTTCAGTGAGGGACACTTAATGTGAACTGAGTAGAATTAGGAATGTCTGAACAAGAAAACATATAGTCAGCTTTATTCCTCCTCCTGTAATAAGACTGGATTGATATCAGAAATTATATTAAACTACTCTTAAACGATGCACTGAAACCTGTACTTATTTCCTCCTATTCATTGCTTTATAAATTAATCTAATTTAGTTGCAATAATTGCCTCAACCACCTTAGTACCTCCAGGACACAGCTCCATGTGAAGCTATTAAAGGAACTGGGAATTTGCTAGTTTTGCAGATAGCTGGATAAAGTATCTTCACTGCCCACTACCCAAAAACAGATTAATTGAGTGTTAACAAGGCAGATAAATAGAAAAATGCACTACAATCTGCCTTCCCCACTCTCACTATTGGAGTCATGATGTGTACACAAAGCAGTCTCAGGTATATTCTAAGGCTTTGTCACGCGTCCTCATATTACAGACTAATGTAACAGAAGGAGCGTAAGGGCGAGCAGTTTTCTTTGTTGTTTTGTTTGTGTGTAAGCCTCGTGTTGACTACCCCAAGATTAAACTTGGATTAAAAAATGTTTGAACTTTTTTGTGCTATAAATGCGAATCAGAGGCAATAGTATGTTTCCAAAAGGAAAACTTTTTCCAGCCACTGATCACTCCCTTGCCACTCATTATCCATGGCTGAAAAGGTGGGCACATCACCTGATCTCAAGCTTCTGCTAATGTCGGCGTGAAACCAGTCAGTATGAGAGGAGACCTGCAATTTTGCCTGTTTCTTTCATCAACTCCCCACAGTGGTAAAGCTGAGTCCAGTAATGGCCTAAGTACCACAGCTCCAAAGTACTCTGGCAACCAATCACATCTTCTATGTTTTGGGGTCTCATTTCTATTAAAGAGACATTTGTTTTAAACAATAAAAGTATGAAAGCTTAAATGCTACTCATTAACTTTATATTGACAAAGCCCAAGAAGCATCCTTGTACGTATACGCACTCCAGCCTAGTTATGGGGCACTGTCATTTTTAGTTGTAGTCATGCAGTTGTAGATGACAGCTTCTACCACTGCAAACATTACAGTTAATCTGTACACTAAGTACTATTAAAATATCCTGCGAATTTCAAACTGGACATGGTGCACATTTGTGACTGAGGCCTTTGCTTGTGAGGCTCACAAAAGTATTGATAAATAGGGAATCCTGCAAGCTCCTGGATTTGTCTTCTCGCAGACACTGGTCTCAGTTTCAATTTTGTGAAGCGAGGAGGTTGCGGCCAAATGTGGCAGGTGATCCGAGTTGGAAGTTTGTAGCTGGAAGGAGCTTCAAAGGATCAGCTGGAGGCACGTCGGGAAAGCTGCAGAATCCAATAAATCTTATTCCAAATCTTGCAAGTTATACCCCATTCTGAGTGACCAGGACTTTAAACCTGTCAAACAACTTGATGCTAAGATGGGAAGAAGGTAGGGTAGGTATTCTGGAAGGATAAATAAACCCAAAGCCTTTTGGTGCGGTCATAAACTCACCTGTGAGTTAAATGCTCACCTCTGACACAGCAGTAGAACTAAGTTATTACATTACATTGTGTCTTAGGTAAGAACTCACAGCTGCATGATGCTGTCATTGCCGTATCTGGAGTCCTGTAGCTCAGTGGTTAGAGCACTCGCTTTGCAAGCGAGAGACCTGAGTTCAATTCCAGGCAGAGGGCGAAACCTTGGGCAAGTTTTCTTACTCCACACGCCTAATAATAATCCCTCCAAAACCAAAACAATAATAAATTGGTCATTTTCAATCTACGACTGTTTGTGGGACATTGCTGTGCGCAATTGGCTGCCGCGTTCGCCCACAAATATACAGTCAATTCACTTTACAGTGTGTTCTGTGAAGCGCTTTGGGACGTCCTCCTGACGTGAAAAGCGCTATATCAAATGCAAGGATTATTATTATTATTATTATAACTTAGTTTTCAACTGGGAGTGAAGCTACCGTTTGGGTAGCAATGGGTGAATGTAAAGGATCATCATGTAACCAGTGCCCAATTTTTCTTTACAATCACTATGATTGATGGTTTCTCTCCCTTTGAACGCAAGAGGCATTTGTTGAGCTACATTTCTTTTACATTTATTCTTAGTGACATAAAAGCCAGTAATACACTTATAAAGTGGCTTATTATTGTTATTTAAAGCAACAACATACCCTCTGTGGTGTGGTCTCAGGCAAATCTTGATTTAGACCCCTTGAGGGTGAGGAAATTTGCAATCTGAAATAAAGTAGTAGAAGTGGAGCTGCAATTCCTGGGCTTAGTGTCCCCAGATTGGAAAGGGCGGTAGAGGTCGTGAGACTTTCCATTCCTGATCACTGTCAATTGAGTTCTGCAAAAAGTGTCACGTGTGTAGATTGGCTTCAGTGAACAGTGAATTTGCCATAACTGACTATCTAAGCTTCGATGTGAAAAATGGTCTTTTAGACAAGATATTGGAGGGATGCCAATTCCTAAAAAATCCTAACGTGGGTTACTGCCTGCAGGAGAACGGAGAAGGGGACAAAAGGCTGTGAACCCTTTTGTCACAAGTCAAAATTCTAAAATCCTTATTTGCTCTTTATAGGCGAACCAGCACAAACACACACAAGCACACCTACTCCCACACAACAACAACTTCCATTTATATAGTGACCTTCACGAGTTGGAGCACTGAAACACACACAATGAATAACACAGCAGTACACTACAGAACACAATTTTGGGGTGAGGGAGAAGTGGCATTTTTTCTTATTCCAATTCTGAGCACAAGATAGATAGATATAATTATAAAGCAGAGCCCTGTGGCTGGTCTATTTCAGGGACTTGTATTTGACTTCAGTCTCTTAATGGCACCAAGGGTCACAATAACAATGAGACACTGATATTCCAATTCTAATCCATTTGGACAGAGGTCAACCATAGTGCAAAGTGGCCCCAAATTAGACAGAGCCACATGGTTTGAAGAATGCAATTATGATCCAGTAATCTTGGGTGTACTTTAGGTTTAAATTATAGGTTGTGTGTAAATCATACAGCATCTATATTCTCACCCAGCAGTAGAAAATAGATGAATAAATGCCACTCCATTAAAGATTCTAACTGCTTATCTAGCAACATATTGGGGAAAAATACTGGAAAGATTAACTCTCCTACAGTTTTACAGTGAATGTACGAGTCTTTAATGAGTTTGAGATTAACTTGTGCTAAATCTTCATATGTTCTTAGTAAGAAATCTGAGTGGTGCCAATAGGGACTCTGGATGTCATGGAATCGTAGAATGATAATAATACTATGGAGACAATTCAGGCGATTATGGCTGTGCTCATGCTAACTGCCCACTGGTACTATTTATCCATTACTCTGCTCTTTCTCCATACCATTAATGTGTATGTCAAGCTGACCCCATGAAAACTCTGCTCCAAGATGATCTACTTATTATTTAGGAATCTCATAAAGACACGATACAAATTAGACCCCACTGTTTGAAGAAATCTTCATCTCATCAGATTTTCATAAATGTTTTAACAGTTGAACAGATGACTGTTACAATGTGCAGCATCACATAAAAGGGCCTTTACGTGCAGAGGTGCCTATCATCGGGAGTTCCGTGCTTCAGACCACAGTCTCCTGATACATAGAGAGTAGCGAGTATCTGGGTGCTAGAAATATTGGTGACAGTGGAGTGACATCCAGAAATAGCTGAGCTGCTTGACACATTCATGCTTTGAAGACAGAGGTCACAAGTTTCCAACATCTGTTTCCAACATCGAAAATAGATTGGCAGAGCTGTCGGTAAAATACCAATTGAGCTCAGTGACTGGAGGGTAATTCCAACTGTAGCTGGACTGTGCTGAGTCAACAGAATTCAGCCAAGGCAATAGATAGGGCACAGTAGGACTCAACAATTATGGGCCAGAGAAAAAGGGGGGCAGTGAAAAGGGGAGGCAGAGAAAAGGGGGGCAGAGAAGGGGGGGAGGGCAGAAAAGGGGGGAGGGCAGAAAAGGGGGGGGGGGCAGAGAAAGGGGCGGGAGGGCAGAGAAGGGGGGGGGCAGAGAAAGGGGGAGCAGAGAAAAGGGGGGAGCAGAGAAAAGGGGGGGGCAGAGAAAATGCACTTTGATACCTCTCAACGATGTGATAAGGCACTATATCAAATGCAAGGATTCTTATTTATTATTAGAAATGGTATTGAAAACGTAAACCCAGAAAAGTACTTTAGGATGCACCGAGCCAGTAGAACAAGAGGACCTGAGTTAAATGTTTCAAAGGGCAATTTCAAGGCAGAAACCGGGAAGTGTTTATTTACTCAGAGGGTAATTAACGACTGGAACAGGTCTGGAACAGTTTGAAGCCAGGACACTGAACTCATTTAAAAAGCTGCATGATGCTGTGATGGGCAGATGGATATCCTGACGGTAGGGTGGATATTCTGGAGGGATGAGATCAGATGGGCTGAAGGGCCTTCTTCATCTAAACTAATCTAAATTTCACCTGAATCCTACTAGAAATTGCACGTACAGATCTTAGATCAGGTATATATAGGAAAATACAATAAAATCAGACTTTAAAGATCCCTGTTTGTGAGATGTGGCTGCACAGATTGCCTATGTGCAACAGACTTCCCTTTTTATTTCTAATCAATTCTATTTTGTAAACAGTTTTGAGATGTTTATTTCGAATGAAATGCATATTATTATTATAATCCTTGTCATTTCTGTAGTGTTTTATCATACTGTCCCAAAGCGCTTCACAGGATTTACCATAAAGTGTAGTGACTATATATTCGTATTTGTTATCATAAGGAGGCTAACACTCGCAGGCGCATCAGTGGACAGGCAAGTCACATACTTACGCTTCACACCAGGAAACCGGCGGAAGAAATGGATGAACTCACCCTGCGCGGTCAGCGTGGTCTGAGAAAGGAAGGCTGATGCAATGCCTGAAATCTGCTAAGTGGGGACGGTTAAATATTTGTTTGTTCCGGTCATTGCCAGAAGAGGAAATGAACAAGAACAGGCAGAGAGGGAGTCAGTGCTGGCAGGGATCCTCCGGTACCTGCCAAGAGCAATAGCCAGTGCAAGACATGGAAAGAAAAGTCAATCGTCACTGCTGAAACATTGTACAAGATTAAAAGATATTTCACTTGTTTGAATAACCTTCAAACCTGCTGGTACTTTCCATCCTACTTGCTGACCACCAGAGCGTTCAGATAACGCCCAGCGACGAAAAATATCCAGCCAACCACATCTGAAGCGGACAAGAGTCAAAGGTCAGGCCCCCACCTGTTTTAGCAGCTCTTAATTTTCTGAAACACTGAACAATGTGGAACATGGAGTTCTGGATGAGAACTCCCTTTTCAATTAAAGCAATTACAAGTCAGTCTTGCACAGAATGAAGTTACGCTGTGTCTACATAGCAAAGCAATGACTTTGTTGACATAAATCTGCAGATTTACAAAAGAAGTGTTTTTAAATGCTTTTCACAATCTGGTTTTACTTTTTTCTTCTCACTTGTGCTTGTTGAAACCTCACTCTTATTTTCTGGTGACTGCAGATAAAATACTCCCCAATTTTTCCAGCCATCAAAGTCAATCTTATTTTAACCTGTAAGCTTCTGCGATTTTATATGAGGTGTTTCTGATGTAAATATCCAAGTTAGTTTAGCATTAACTTGCATTGATCTTCACTTGTTTTTTACTGTGACTGATCCGACCTGGGAGCAGAAGAATCAGTCATTCAAGGACACCTGAGAATCACACAGACCAACTCTGTCCTTTCTTTCTCCCTCCTCTTGCCCCACAGTTCACTTACAATCTGTAAATGGATCCCTTTAGTCTATGTTGTAAAATATAAATCAGGTGATGGACCTGCAGCTTTATCCTGTTGTATTGCTTTACGATGGCTCTAAACGTTAACGGCCAACTTGACTTGATGCCCTGACAAGGCAGAACACTGTTTGGCTCTGTCACATTTTAACCCTTAGTGATGCAATTCCTTTTCATTTTGAAAATATATATTTATTTATAAACATAATATTTGGTAAAACAGAAATCCAAAACAAACACAACGTACAACATCTTCTGCTACAATTTTTTTCCTTTTCTCTCGATACAAAAATGCATTCTGTTGTTTACGGTACATTCCTTCACCGCACACAGGTTGTGCATATGTTTTTTGGGTGCTGTTTAATCCCACTAACGCCATAATCTTTGGCAAACTATGTACAAATGGGTGGGAAAAAAATCAGAGCTCTTCACTGTTAACCCTCCTCTCCTTGCTTCACATGACTACTTTGAAATTAATTCAAATGTCATTTGGAGAGAAAGCACTTACAATGTCTGATCCCAATCAGGTTGCTGATAGTAACTAAAAGCACTCACTAAACACTCCCCTCCAAAAGGAGGAAAGATCACAACAGTAAAAGGAAGACCAGGTCACAAATAAAATCCTGAGCTAGCGATACTAGTCGACACCTACAGCAACATAATAATAACAATAATAATCTTTGCATTTCATATAGCGCTTTTCACGTCTTCTAGATGTCTCAAAGTGCTTCATAGAATAGACTGTAAAGTGAATTGACTATATATTTGTGAAAATGCAGCAGTCAATTGCGCACAGCAGTGTTCCACAAACAGTCATGGATTGAAATGACCAATTTATTATCGTTTTTTTTGAGGGATTATTATCAGGCATGTAGAGTAAGGAAACTTGCCCAAGGTTTCACCCTGCCGGGAATCGAACCCAGGTCTCTCGCTTGCAAAGCGAGTGCTCTAACCATTGAGCTACAGGACTACCCGCATGCATTTCCATCGCACCCTTCGTGTAGGTTAATGTTTTGGAGAGCTTCACAGAGATGGAGTCTGATTTTGTGGAAGGGAAACAGGGGGAGTTGAGCATAGGTGTGGTCAAAGAGGTAGGTGAGATTTAAAGACAAATAGAGAAGGGATGAGATGGAGAGATAAAGGGAGGGAGTTCCAGAGTTAAGGGACATAGTTACTTGTCACCTCCCCATCCACTGCTAGTCTCATGCTTTTTATATCAGTTTGGGACTTATATGTGTCTGTCTCTGTAATGTTGATGTAAGATTTGGTGCAACATAATAAGATATTGTAACAATCATGCCTTTTAGTTTGCTTACCTCTTATTGAGAGAGTCATAAACAACTTGGGTAAACACATCCTGGCCACGATGCTTCATTCATTAAATCTCTCCAGTGTTTCCAGCTGCTTCACTAAGAAACATTAATGTTTGGACTGTTTGGAAATCCTATGACCACAAATCATTTGTGCACCTATTAAAAACTCAGTAATCATTATTTTCATTTCTAATAGCTCAACATCTAAGAATATTTAAAGGAATATTGCTCTCTGCTATGTTCAAGTATCTGAGGCTTTCCAGCTGAAATAATTACTGAAATGTTTATTCTCAATGTACTCTTCCAGCAGCAAAACAAACTGTGTTTTAAGTAACTTTATCACTGGTGGACAATTGATTTCTATAGTGCCAGTCCCAATGCCTGATTGGGATTGCTTAGCTACTTTGGCTCCTTGTTCCAAAATGGCCCTAAGCAACATAGGAAAATAGGAATAGGAGGAGGCCATTCAACCTATCTAGCCTGTTCCATCAGTTTATTAGCTCTTGTCAGATCTTTCAATCCCAAACTTCTGCCACTTCACCATACCGCTTTATTTTCTGCTATCCAATTTCTGTCTATATACCCTTTAAATATTCCAGTTGAATCTACCTCTACAGCTTTCTGGGCTAGAACATTCCATATGTTCATAATCCTCTGTGTGAACAAATGTCTCATAGCACTTCATAGGATTTTTAGTGTGAAGTGTATTGAGTGTATTTGTTGATGAACATGGCAGCAATATTTCGTAAATACCTTTGACAAATTTTATTTGGAGAATTGACAGCCAGGACACTGAGAGAAACTCTTTTTTTTGAATAATAACATGGGATCTTTAACGTCCACCTGTACAAGCAGACGGCATCTTCGTTTAAGATTTCATCCAAAGGATGGCACCAGCATGCAGTGCTGAAAATCCCGACATGGGGGACCTTGTGATCAACAGCACCATTATATGCCACAGGAAGCAACTCAAGACCATTCTGACAAAGATTCAACAACATGCTACATCTTTTGTGAAGAGGGACTATTTTAATAGGTACGTAGGAATGTATATGACCAGGGAAGACCATTATAGTCCTTTTGGCTATTCTCCATAGTTAAGACATATGAGATTAGTAGAATGGAGAAAGAAAAAGAAAAAAATGTTCGACACAACCAAACTAAAGGATAAATATTTGGGCAAAAATAACATTAAGGGGTATCAGAAAAAGAGCAGAGGAGTAAGAATGGATAGCTTCTGTGTGACACAAGAACCAGCACAGATGTATCTGGCCTAATTGCTGCCTCATGTGCTGCAATCTTTCTATGATTTTAAACCATGTTTCTTTATAAAGAAACAAAAAGATGCTGTGTATCTATCAGCTGAACCATTCTGTCTACAGGCAAAAATGTTAAACGTGTGGGATTAGGCAGATTCCATTCCTTGTTACTCATTGAGCAGCGGCACTGTTTACTTTGGTGGGGATTCCACTCTTCACTTGCACCTGGCCCATAAAAAGTCTCCGTTCAGACAGGACCTTCACAAAGGCCTGAGGATTAGATCTGTGCACTTACAGATGCGTCATGATGGAATAGAAAAGTGCAGGAATTATTTACAAACAGTTTTCTGGGGGAGTTAGGTCAGCATCACAAAGACTTGAGATGACATAGCAGCATTTGCTGGGAGAAAGGGAGAGGCTGTTTATTCTGCAGGCTTTTCATGGCTAGAGCACCATGCTTGAAATATTTGAAATCACAGTAACAATTGCAAAAATAATATATTTTTACTGTGGTGCACTTAGCTTTAGCCTGACAGGTGCTCAGGTGAAAGCAGTGTGGACCAAGTATTTTACACTGCACTTTTAAATTATGGTATGTCGACATTGGTATACATTCTACAGTTCTTTTATACCCATGAAAATGTCCCATGTGTATATTTATAAAAATGATACTTACATTTGATACTTACATGTTGCCAGAAAGGGTGCTCAAAGACAGAACTTTGGATGCATTGAGGAAAAAGTTCAATGCTGAAATAGAAAGAAGGTTGTGTTGGTATTCTGCAAAGGTGCAATCATATGAATGAAAGCTCTTCTTCATCAAAATCTCTCTTGCGAAGTCTCTCAAGGCTAAAACCCATGTCTAAGCTAATTGTATTGGGGGAAGGAGAGGATTCCAAGCTCAATTTAAAACATTTGAAACAATGAATGGCAAAGTAAAGTGTGAACAGAGCCACAGTGACTTGGAAGTCCTTCAGCATGTATGGATTCAGGTGATTTCAGCCAGGTCGAGAGTAGGAGTGCAACTATTACCTCCATCCTCCCATGTTAATGAAGGGGAGAAAATCCTAGGCCGGATCCCTGTTAGAAAATGAATGTGAGCAGTAGATGAATAAAGCCAGGATCAAGATTTGGCTGTGATGTTCACTAACCTTGGATAGATTGTTGACACTAATTGTTGATGCTCACACATGAAGCACAGTAATTTGAGGTGAGGTAACTGAGGAACGTGTGCCAGCATGACTTTTTCAGGAAAAGGGAGGTGGAGATGTGGGGGGTGGGAATGCAAGCGTTTGAAGACCAAAAAGAGTTGAATGAATGGGTCCTAGGAGTATCGTCAGGAACAATGCCTGTAATCTCTGACATCCTTTTGGATGGAAAAGTCCACCGGCTCTGGCAGTTGCTATGGATCCTCAATCCCTGGCAGGCCACAGAAGTTCGTGCACTTGCCTGGGTTATGGGGATAAAGCACTGACTTCACAAACATTCACAAAATCTGGCCAGAGACCAAACATGAAATCTCTGAACACTGATCCCTATTTCAGGATGCCATCAGA